AGAATTTATTGTTTAATTGTTGCAAATAAATTATTGGAAATATTAGATAATGTTTAAACAATTAGAATATTCAGAAATATTAAAAACTCACTCCTAAATTTTAGTCGATGTGCACACGACGAAAGTTCAATTGGTAATGACTCTCCGCTGAAGGTTAATTTATTGTTTCGATTGTCAGTGACTCCGGACTGTTGATAATTTTTTTTTAATACTTCAAAACGGTTTCTCTATTATACTAATCAATAGTTTTTAGATTTCTATTGCAAGGTTACCCTTTCATAAATATGTTACAATGTCAAATGTAATAATTTATCAATTTTTTAATCTCTAACTTAAAACTAAATTTACACATTCATGATATTAATTTCTAAGTTGTAACTGCATTGATGTATATTAAATAGAAATTTATGTAGAGAATAGTTATGTAGTAAAAAATCATGTTAAGCAGTAATTGTTGCTTCAGAGTAATTGCGCAACACATAAAATATTTTCACTCGTTTGTTGTTTTAAATTGCAAGGAATATATGTATTATGTAACTATCTTTTCCAGTCATTGTAAATAATATAATTTAATTATTATAAATGAATTGTTCAAACTGTGAAATAATGCTTGAAAGTTCAACCATTGATTGATACTTACTATAAATAAATAGTTAAATTTGTTAAATAATATACAAAAATATCATTGAAATGCGTTATTTTACAATTTGAATAATTCGTTTGAAACAATTAAATTATTTTATTTCTATAATATTTCTAGACACTATTTTATAATTTTCACAATTTTTATATTACGATTAAACAATTAAATTAATTATTTCATTTAATAAATCAACGTCATTTGTCTTAAGTACATTGTTCAAGATTCTTATAAATTATTAGTTAAATATTTTAAATAACACTTAGAAATATTACAGAAGAGAATTTATTGTTTAATTATTGCAAATAAATTATTGGAAATATTAGATAATGTTTAAACAATTAGAACATTCAGAAATATCATTTAAAAATTCACTTCGAATGTTTAATCGATGTACACACGATGAAGGTTCAACTTACAATGACCTTTTTCAACCATCAGATAAAAATAAGGTCAGCGATGCACAGCAGGTGGTAATCTTTGTCAATACTTCCAAAAAACGTTATTTCTATTACAGTAATCAATAATTTTACAGTTTTTATGTTTTATTTTGTTAAAATTTTTCAATTTTACAGTTTTATTATTTTACAGCCCCCATTCATCTTAGGCAACAATAAATGTAATTTTAGGGGTGTGCGAGAACCGGAAAATATCGGGAACCCGATGGTTGGGACGAGAAATTTCGAGATTCCCGGAGGAATCAGAATTTTTCTCGGAAAAATTCGGGATTCACGAAAATTTCGAGAAACCCGGCTACCGTTTCTCGAACTACTTTACAATGCTGTATATCAGCCTACATAATATGTAAATACACAGTTTCTTCTGCCAGTGAAATTATTGGAAACACGGATTCTAAGAATCGTGTGACCTGATATAAACGAACGTGTCACTGCGTCCTCAGTTCTTGGACATTATGTACGCTGCTGAACAGTATCGCTGAGAGACTCGGGGAGGTCAGACGTATATTTCAAAATCTGTGTGAATTTAATAAAGACTAAAAATCTTTAAAACCAACGCCGAGTGATAGTGAGAGTAAAGTTGTGGTAGCAGGAAGTAGTGCAGAAAATATCGTATAAAGGAAGAAGGTAAAGAAAGTCCCTCTGTTTGGGAACATTTTCAAGAAAAAGATGATACAAAAGCGGAATGCATACATTGTCACCATGAATTTAAAACCAAGTATGCATATACTACTGGTTTATTACGCCATTTGAAGCATATGCATCCAAACATAAGTATATGTACTAGGAAAGTAATTGAATCGATATATGATCGCGAAAGGTTGTTAAATCAAAAGATAATAGAAGGAATTGCTCGAATGATGGTTCTAGATCTGCGATCTTTCGATATAGTTGAAGGCGTTAACGAATTATTTATTCTTGTTACCAATCCTTTCCCAACTCTTTCGGGAATTATTGAGAAGTAATAAATTTATTATTTGTTTTGCCTTTTTTTATTTTACTTAAATATACTTAAAACTGGGAAAATATTACAATTTTGGACCAAAAAATTCTCAACGTACGTGGCATGTCATTCTAGCGCAAGAATTAAAATTATACATTCCTGCTTAGAAAAATACTAGAACAGAAATTAATATTCAACTTAAAATTTGTTACAGATGCAATCTGTTTCTGGAGTCGGGATGTAATTCGACGTTGGAAGACAATGAAATACAGGTAACTTAAATTCTCATTTAAAGATCATTTTAAGTCGCTAATTAATCTAAATTGAGATTTTGATTTGTGTCTGTTAATTTTCATTTCACCAATTTGTAGACAATTTATAGTTACGCGATTAATTAAAAATCTTTTTCGGAGAAGGAACTGTTATTTCAGTTCGGTATACATTCCTTCATCTACTACCGAAATTCTATATTCTTTTAAAATTCTTTCACGCTGTTAACACGTTCGGAAATATATCTTCACATATTGACTTTATTATCCACTTTCCGTTTCTGTGAGAATTGATTCGCTAGACGAGAAATAAAAACCGAATCTTCAAAGGCTTTCAACAAACAGCATCCCATTAGACTCTTATCGTCTCCGTTAAAGTAAAAGCGTTTTACGACACGTTTTCGACGTTTTACGACCAGATCGATACGCGAAATTAGCCGCTTCCGTCGATTCATAGAAACCATAAAGAAATCTCCATTTCAGACACGTTAGTTTAGTATCATTGATCTCACTTAGCTATCTACATTCCGTTTCATTCAACAACATCATGAAATCCTCTTTCAAACCTAATCGAAAGAAATTGAAGCGAATTTTCATACTTTCAACTCACCGAAGTGATGAAAATGATCAATTTATAATTTTTGTTGCAAATTTTATGAACGTAAACAACGTATTTTTGTAGATTTAAACGATTTTTCGTAAAATATATAAATAAAAGTTCGTGTACTCCATCGTGATACAAAGTTTCTCAATACTTCTGTTTCGTTTGACGAAGATTTCATGGTTTAACATGTTATTCATCAGATTGGAATTCATTCGGAGTACTTATTAGATGCGATAAATATGTCACAGAGAAACTCACCATTTATTATTATTGACAATGAGTCAGTTGCAACTCATTGTCAATTACTACCATTTATTATTACAAATCCACCAAAGTGTCCGAACGCTTCAGCACGCGACAGAAGCAACCTGCCCCGGCCACGAATCTTCCGCTTTCTCCTTTCTCCATTCATCGCCGCGAATCAACAAATAGCGTTCGCCTTCGCTCTCGCATAATCCTCACTTTACACGTTCGGTTAACCAAGCCGGCAGCCGACTTCTCCATCGCCAGGTTGCCCGTCGTTGCCCGAGGAGTTGTCTTTCGCGAGCACTTGGCCCTGAATAGCAGTTACAGGGAAACAATGTCCTCCGGAGTACGATTACGAGAGGGTTGCGCGATCCCTCCCTTCCGAGCGAGTAATTTTTCTCAATGCGGTAGCACGCGGTGGATCTTAATCCCGGCGAAAGGAAACGGGATTCGATGGAATAATGGCCGGCGGGAGATGGGGAGGGAGACACTCGGAGACTTCAAACCGGACACCGGTGGATGTGTTTCGGACAACATGCGCACGGTTTGGCGCGTTCCCAAAGGCGGCGCGTCGCAGCCTCGCGTCCCTTCGCGATTTCACCCCCCGATTCTAATGCAAATCGGGGTCAGTTATGGCGATACCCCGTAGCCCCCCCATTGAAATAACATTAATCTAGTGTGGCAGCGAACGCGCCACACGGTTGCCACGTTCGATTATATGCCTCGGGTTATATGCTGCCTCTCTCTTTCTCTTTTTCTCTCTCTCTCTCTCTCTCTTTCTGTTTTTCTTTCTCGCTGCCTTCAGACGAAAGTCTCGGTCAATGGATCGAACCCCTCCTGTCTTTCTTCGTGCACTTTTTTTTCTTCTTCTTCTTCTTCTTCTTCCTTCTCCTTCCGACGTCATTGTCACTTGGGTGCGAGCCCCCGGCATACATTATTCCTTCCGGCCGCGGAAAATGGACCGACTTCGTTGGACTTCGTTCTTCTCTCTCTCTCTCTCTTTTCGTTTCCTCTTTTCTTCTCTTAGATAGCGAAGGGTTCTCCGTTGCGGAGGGTTTAGAGAAGGGAGAGCATTCGATGAGAGAAGTTTGAAGATACTTGTGACGAGTTCGACTCTCTTGACGTTCTATGGACCCTCGCACGGTGAATGACAGGTTCGTGGAGTTATGAAGTTACGCTCGGTAACTGGCGGGGAGATGGAACTTGCGCGCGGAATTCGGAAAGAGTTACACCCTTTGTTGCAGCCACGATGCGCGTTGCTTTGTTATCTTAACGTTGTGCGAAACGACTCGCGTCGAATCGTCTCGCATACTTGCCTCGTGAAATTTCACACGATCGCGGATCCTACTTGCTTTTATACGCTTTTATACGTTCCAAGATCGATTTCAAATTTTATCGCCACGCTCGTTCCTCGTATACAGATATACAGTCATGCGTGTGTTGTGATAGTGCGACCGTTCAAATTTCAACTGTCGCGATCGTTTTCTGCATCGGGGTTCGCCAAACTCACGTTCGGTGAAGTGAATACGGTTCAAAGGCGATCGTCGAATTCGCGGCGCCGCGTTGTCAGGCGCACGCGCGCGCGCGTCGTCGTCGAAACATTAACGCGGCAAAAACGGCTAAGTGGAATTTATTGCGGTCTCGACAGGCCGTGGCACTGCCAGTGTTATACACCAGCAGACACATGTACCCTGCGTCCACACAGTCTCACGGTGGGTGTCGGACGCGGCTTCGTGTTGCCGCGTGATTTACACGGTTTCCGTCGTAACTCTTAGCGGGCCATAAAACCGAATTAATCGTTCGAAAACGGCCCGCGGCTACGAAGGCCTCCCGCGAATAAAATCGACCCGAGAGCATCGCCCGGCATCGCGATTCCTTTCCACCGGTCTCTTTCGTTCGTTCGCGATTCTCGCCATCTCCGCGTTTCGTTCGATCTTCTTTCTCTCCTCCTCGCCGTGTCGTCTTCCATCCACGCAGGAATATTTATGCGGGACCCGTTCACCTTTCCCTCCGCAACGTCTCTCATTTTCTGCCTTTTTCTCGCGGCTGAATAGCGCGAACGGTTCATTTCTCCGGCCGCGTTCGCTTTTTCTTCCTTGCTGTTCCCTTTCTTCCCTCGCTCGAGAACGTGCAACCACGCGCAGAAAAGAATACATTATCGCTCGTGTGCGTCGCGTTTTCAACGTTCGCCGGGAATTCTCCTCTTCTTGCCAGCGTGTGCCCCGAGACGAGATCGGACGTTAACGATTTCCTCGCCGTTGCCAATGTTCCGGCTGATTTTCCTCCGATTGGAACAGTAAAGGGGTTGAAGAGAGGTGAATGGAAAGAATAACGTGCGTCGAGAAGGGTTAGGAAAGTCGAAAGTTTCACACGGATCGGGAAAAGAAAAAAAGAAAAAAAAAAAAAAAGAGAAAGGAGTAACGATTTCTTCACCTGCTCTTGGTCCTCGAGTGACCGTTGCCGAGGGGGTTTTCTGCGTGGAAACGAAGGGGTCCCGCGCATGGATCGCGATAAACGAAGAGGGTTGACGTCGCGTCGAACCCTTTCACCCCTCGCGGGAATACACGCGTACGGTTGATTTTCGGCTGAAATTCGTTTCGAGTGAAATTTTTTGGGAAAAGCTCGCTGTCAGGCGACAGATGCAACGGAGGATGCATTATTGTATCGAGACGAAGTCAACGGATATCGAATTTTTTCTTTCTTTTTTCTTTTTTCTTTCTGGAAAGAATGTCGAAAGTTGTCGTGGCTGATACACTTTTGGTCTGAGTGATGATTGTACGACTTTGTATGTGACTTGAAATTTGTATAAGAAACGTCATTTACACATAAGTATTACGCAAGATTACACATAAAATTTACGAAAATTTTATTTCAGTCAGAGAAATGTTTAAATCAGACAGACGAATTAATTTACACGCTAAATTTCGTTCTCTTTACGTCTATATTCTTTCATCCGTTCAAATTATGAGGCCATTCTTTTCAAACGAGACACGCTGACAATCGTGTGACTGTCACAATCAGAATCATTATTATCATCATTATCGAATATTTTATTTTATCAGAATCATTATTATCATCATTGTCGAATATTTTATTTTATAGCAATGAAGCAAAGAGGCAACTTTCACAAGTGTAAAGACACTTTTAGGCTGCCCTAACTGTTCAAGATTATCACGCGTGAAATTTCATCTCTTGCCACATCCGTCGTCGCAGTGGAAGATCCTAAATAAAAGTAACTTGAAAGAGTCCTAGTAGAGTCGACAACTTTCGTCCGAAATACACAGCTAAGGCCGGATCTGTCGAGTTCACCGGAAGCGAGCAACAAGGAATTCGTCGCTTCTTTCACAGAGCCTAAGAGCGCGACCCGAGTAAATCCCGATACGCGTCGGAAGTGAAATAGTTTAGTGGCGCGCGAGTCAAACGGTCCTGACAAAGCAACGTTCCTCTGTCGTTCGAAAAGAGAAAGAAAAAAGAAGAAAGAAAGAAGAAAAAAAATATGGCGAATTCGCCGACGTGCTGGCTCGTAAACTACGTATACGCTGGGCCCCTCCATTGAAAACAGTCGAGCCGTGATATTTCAGGCCCCCACGACTCTTGTCCGCGCGCGTACGCCTCGCGTACGATTCGTATTATGCAAAACAGACGCGGCGCATATCGTCTGTTGCGAATCGCTCACGTCCCGTGCTATTTATCCGTTTGCTCGCTCGAAACACATATATTCTCGGTCTAATTGCCGTGGCGTTCGTACCGTGGGCTTTCCTTTCTCCTCGGCCGCTTCGGCTCACCGACGGAAATGTATCGCAGGTAGGAATCGTTGCGTCAACTTTATGGTAGACACGTTCGAAGGTTCGCAGGCAAGGAAGCGTACGAGTTTTGCGCGTGAGTATAATAATAACCAGAGGTGTTAACTTGGCGCATTGATCAGTATCGTTGGACGTTGATTCTACGATGATCTCGAAACTGCAAGTTCCCGTTGATTGATTTAAACATGTTAGGTTGAAATATAAGTATCGTTCAGCGTTGAGAGCCACTACGGACTTTTATGTACTTATGCGAAATTTAAAGTGAAAAATTATACAAGATATTCAAAATATATAATATTTTGGTACTTTTTGTAAGATTTGGTACGTAAAATAATTTTCCAAAGCTCGAT